GCGCAGGCCGCGATCCTGCGGGCGGTGCTGCCGGGCGGGGAGCCCGGGGGGATCGCCTGGGAGTCGCTCGAGAAGTGCGGGGCGGCGTTTTGGGTGGCGGACCCGGCGCGGCTTCGCGGCCTGGCGGAGGCCGTCGCCCGCGCGGACTTCCGCGCCACCCACCACATCCCCCACTGCGCGCTGATGTACTGCCTTTCCGGGAATCGCGGCGCCCTGGTAGGGCTCTGCAAGGAGCGGAACGAGCCCCGGCTGCGGGACTTCTACCGGCGCGACTTCCGCGAGCCGGCGAGCCGGCAGGCGGCGGCGGCCAACGCCTACGCGGCCTTGGGGAAGAACCTCATCCGCTACGCGGCCTCCTTTTTCCTCCTCGCCGGCGACCCTCGCAGCGCGGCGCAGGTCATTTTGCAGCGCGAGCAGAACCCGTCCCTGGCGTTGTTCGTACTCCGCGCCGGCGGGATGGACGCGGGGGGGGCCGAACGCGCGGAGGACCTGCGGTGGTTCCTCCGGCTTTGGCGCGGCGAGCGCTGCGGGGGGCAGTTGGACTCGTGGAGCCACGCCTGCCTCCTTTGGCTGATGGGGCGGCGGGAGGATAAAATCGCCGCCCTCCGGCACCTCGCCCGCCACCCCACGGGGCATCCCGAGGTGCTGTGCGTCCTACGCCACGCCCGCCGCCGCGTGGTGGAGTTGGCCCACTGCGGGGGGGAATTTCTCTCCTTCGAGGGCGAGTTGGCCTGTCTCCTGCGCCTGGGGCGCTATTGCCAGGTCCACCGGCTCGATCTGAACGCGCAGCTTCACTACGCGAACGTGCAGAGCCTGCTCAAGGACGGCGTTGCGGATTCGGCGCCGACCTCCCGCGGGGATCCTACCCCTGGGGGCGGCGAGTTTTCGCGTTTGGCACCTCCCGAGGAGCGGCCCAAGGCGCCGGCGGCGAAGTCTCGCCTTCAGGCCGATTATACCACGGGCACTCTGATGTTTCAGGGCTTCGATGAGGCGAGTGGGGATGAGGAGGCGGAGGGGGACTCAACCGGGGGAGATTCCCCTGCACTTCCCGAGGCGCCTGAGCGCGACCCCGGCGTCCTCCCACCGACACCTCCGCGAGGACCGGCGGGGGCGAGTGTTGGCGCCTCCGGGGGCCCGGTGTTGGGTCTTTCGAAGGGCCTGGTGGACCGGATCGAGGCGGAGATTGCGTACGCGACTCGGATGCTGCGCGGCCCGCCGCTCGCCGCGGGTTCCCCGCGAACCGGCGGGGATGCGGCGGAGTGGGCGGGCGCCGTGGGGCCAACCCCCGCCTCGGGCGTGACCGACCGCGGCCTCTTCGCCGTCTTGGCCCCCCTTCTACTCCGCGTCATGCAGGAGAGCCCGATGGCGGCGATCGAGCGCGGGCTGGCCGATGTCCTCGGGTATCTTTTGCCCGA